CTAAGTTTGCATATTAAAATATATGTGGGGACAACCCAGTTCACAATTTCAAAAAATAAACAAAGACAAATAGCAACAAAAGAATCATCAACTTAAAGTTGGATTAAAAAAAAATCTATTTTGAGGTTAAAAACATGTTTTTGAAAATATTGAAATAAACAAATGTAATTAAATCAACAATTATTAAAAAAAGAGTGACTGACATATTTCTACTTGAGCATGGATCAGTACGACTGCTAACTCTATTTTTCTTATATTAGAGATTATTTCTGTCTAATTGGGAAAAATATATGTTTTTCAAGTTAGTGAAAAATCAGCAGTCCTGCAAGGACAGTTAAGCCCCAAAATATTCATACCCCTGGCAGATTTTGGTTTAAAGTATTTTTTGAGTTTTACATACAAGTTTTAGTTTTTTTTGAGTGAAAGTACCACTGTTTTAGAGCGGCCTGAGCCAGAGCCACGACTCACGTCTGAGAATCTGAAGGTTGCAAAAGATTAGGGTCATGGCAAGAGGCCCTTCAACCTCAAAAACATAGAAAAAAATATTAACTGCAACAGTGGAAGAGTAGAAATATTTTGACACGCTAGTGTTGGAATAGAAAATAAAAAATACATTTTTATTAATACTTCTTTTACTATGGGTTTAGCAACCTTTGCTGCATATTTGTCCAATTTCCTCTCAGAAACATAGATGTAACAAAAAAAAGAAAACAGTTAAACTCTATTTAACCTTAAAACTAACATTTAGCTCTATGTTATGAATAACACTGAGCTGAACTGTGGTTTGATGTTGACAATGACAAATGCAGTACATTTTCATAAAAAATTTAGAATTCCATAAGACTTCACACAGCACCACTGAAAACGCTGCAGTACATATGCAGGGCCTGCTGGTGGCGCTCTGTATCATAACAGCTGGACATGTGCAGACAGCTTATGTTAGTAAACAACGAAACATGACAGCAAAGTGGTGCATGTGGTTCACAGAGAGAGAGAGACAGAGCCACGACTAAACGGCTGCTGAATTTATGTAACCAGTAAGGACTCTTCAGCAAAAACAGACGTGTGTCAGCTGTCATCATGACACATGTTGTCCAAACTGTGGTGGCAGTAAGGAAAAAGGTAGGAAAAACTTCCTATTGTTGTTCCTTCTCCATAGGAATCCTAAAAAGGTTCCTCACCAGTGCAAAGAAGCTAGAAGGAATCCCACAATTCTTTGTGGCTCACAGGTACAGACCACCTCATGGAAATGAGAAAACTTTTTTTTTTTTTGCATGAAAATGCATAACTGCATCTGTGTGACACATGCAAATGAACTCACCTTCAAAGGACTTGGATTTTATAATGAAGAGTTTCAGCTATTTGCTAGATTTGAGCATCTCGTGGTTGCCATACTTTTTTAAAAATGTCTTACATCTGCATCTAATAATTCATTTCTCTAGATTCACACAGCTATCAATTTGACAAAGCCACACATTTAATGGGGGGGGTTGATTTAATTTCCACTTCATCTCAATCCACTTCTTCGCTATTGCCAAATGGATTTCTGTTAGCTTCTCAGCTTGATTTCGTCTCTAGGTTGGAGTTCATAAAGTTCCCTGATAAACAAATTTCAGGTTTGTTTGATAAATTTAATACATCCGTTAGGAAAACCCCTGCATTTTAGAATAATGCCAGGTAGCATGGAGGAACAAAGAGGGAATATATTAGAGTTTATGGGGTGTAATATACAGCTAAAGCAAAAAAACTGAATTTTACCAAACTAAATCGAACATTTAGAGTAGAGAAGATTCCTCTCTGTACACATTTCTCCATAACTCCTTCTAATTATAATTATTCTCATGTCACAAACGAGTTCTTACTGTTGACCCGATAAAAGGTAAAGGAACGGGAGCTACCAGCTAAATGTATTTGGACAGAACCATCATTTAAGAAAATATTCATACAAATAGATGAACAGAGGACAGCTGCATGCCAAACTGAGACAGACTCACTGAGGTGTGCCTCTAATTTAAAACAATAATGCAACTAAAAGCCAACTAGAGAAAAATATCCTTATGAAGCTTTTCAAACCAAATCTGCTCTTACAGGAGCAGTTATGTATTCACTCCAACTTTTCCTTCTCAAAGGAGACACGATGAAAATATATATTGTTCCATTTTGAAGACATCTTAGATGATTCTCCAGTAATGGCTTTCCTTGCAGCCACCCTAAGAATGTGATGCAAGTATTTTTCCTTGCATGATGCACCTTCCTTCAAACCATCCAGTGATAGAGCAGTTTGAGTGGAATGTCTATCAAAATACATGGAAGTGATTTTCCTCCTTCCTATCTCTGATAAAGGATCCTCACAAAAATAAAGAACGAGGGATGTTTCTTTTGGATTGGCATGATGAAGATTCAAACGAGACTCTTCAGTCAAAACTCTCTCCAAAAAACTAATTTTCCTCTGGGATTATTAAAGTATGTCTGATTCTGGAAAAGGCACAAAATACATGTGGGACAGGGGTACTTGATAAGCAGAACTAGGAACCAATGCACGACCGAACTTCAAACCTCTCAAACTCTAAACAATGAAATATTTACACTGATTAAATCTGGTAAAACCTGAGATTCTTTAAAAAGATGTGAATTGAACAGTTTTCTGCTTCAGAAAACTGAAATCACACAGGAACAATATAACAATAAAACATGTATTTGCAGTTTTTTTAATTCTATTTTAACAAGACTTTTAAAGTGCCAACACTGAGTCAAGAAAATGTCCTCTAAAGTCCCTACAAATATAAACTCTAAAACATGAGGTTACCTTGACAGTGCAACAAGTTTGTTTGAGACACCCTGCCAAGATTTACATTTCACCTGCAGCCCAGAGAAACATTTCTCGTAAAAAGCCTTCTACTGGCCAGAGCCCATTCCATTCCAACTAAAGTTCGAAGTGTTGACATGAGTATTTCCAGACAGTGCAAACACTGGCTCGAATTGCTGTTGTGCATTAATACCCCTCAAAGACCACCTTCTCCTCTTCAGCGACAGCCTGCTGCAGTGCGGCTGGATTCCAACTCAGACTAAAATCAGTCAGTCTGCAGGGAACTGCAGCTACAGCAATGGAGCATCTGGCAATTCATTAATAAACATACACTTAAAACCAAGTGATGTGTAAATCAGATATTTATAGGTTAATGTCTACAGTGGGGGCCGTTAACAGTTCATTGGAAAACAATAAAAATGCTGCTGCAGCAACAGCAACACTAAAAGTATAACAATAAAAACCTCCAGTGATTGGAGTCTGCACTTTAGTCCACCAAGCAAAATATTATAATGCAAAATAGGGCTTGAAAGAATGATCTGTTTGCTCATCAATTAATCCAGTGATTCATTTTTCAAATTAAAAGATTAATAATCAATTAGCAAAAGGTGCCTTAAAGAAGATCTTATATAGACTTATATCTAAAACTATGCCACTCAATGGATTCTGGATTGAGCTTATTCATGGTAAAATACTGGTAAAATATAAATTACTGCTCTGAGTCAGTTTTTCTCTCAGTCAGTGGCATGGGTTAGAGTCTGTATACCTCCAGTTAAAAATCTATCATTTACTAAAATAGTTGATTATTTAAATAATTGGTTGATCTGATTAATTGTTTCAGCACTAATCCAAAGTATGTAATCCTCTTTAGTTGTGTCTGCCTACTGTAAAAGAACAAGTAATACAATTTTAGCACTAAAAAGAAAATCTGAACTTAAATTCTGCCTGACAAAGACAAACCCTAAAATACCGTAAAACGTTGGTTCTTCAAAGGGTTGACTCAGGGAGGGAGAATGCCACACCTGACGGTTTTGTTTTGTATGAAAATATAGAAAATCATCTGGTAAATCTAATATGTTTTCCACTTCACATTGATACACTCGTTGGTGTAGATCTTGGACATGAAACCAACGTTGGAATGTGACAAAAACATTAAACAAGTTCAAGATGTTTAAATATTTTAGCGAGGCACGTGTTTCCAAAGATCAACCATGCAGAGTTTCATGTTTGGATATGAGGAACAGAGACTTCAGGAGGTATTTATGAGGCCACAGTAGACAGATTATGCAAAAAAGAAATCTGAGAAGCTTAAATCTTTAAGGCAATAAATAGAAAAATTCATCAACATCTTAAAAAGATGGCTGCTTGAATGAGTCCAGGTATAGATAGCATTTAACTAAAGCCTAACAACTAACTATTGTTGCTGTTTTTCATTTGGTTAATGCACTGTTATTAAAACCCCTTAAAAAAATGTTCCCTCAGATATCTAGATATCAACGTCTTTACATAGATTCTCAATAAAAGGTACAGATTTTTGTTCTTTGTGTGGAATATTAGAGTCAAGTTCCAAATCTGTCTTATGTCCTATTCTTTTAGCTCCATCCCCATCTCTAGCAGTCTCTAATCTTCTTTTTTTCTCAGAAGCTCTCTTTAGCTCTTTAACCACAACCAGACAAAAAGCATTAAAAAGTAGAATGGATAGAAGGGGGTGGGGCATATACAGATAGGGAAAGACACACAAGTAAGGACTATCACAATGAAATGACATTATAGTTTAGGTTATGTCCCTGCTTCAGAAGTAGAGGAAAATCTGAAACTTTATATAAACAAATATTAACAGTGTTAATTTCAATGTTTTAACTTTTAGATGAACAAACAGATTTTCCATTAGCCACTGTGTTTGCAGAAGGTTTGAGCTTAAGATGTTTGAGCTCCACTCCAAGCAGGACAGATTGTAAATCAAACTGCAGTCTGAATATAAATTCAGTCAGTACTGCAGTCTAAAAGAACCTGACTTGGTACAACTTTGCAGGGCACAGACAGAAGAGGAATTACAAACACAACCTGCATCATTTAACCTTTAATTAAATTGAGATGGTGAGTTCTAAGCCTATTGATGTATATCGTGTTTTACTGCAGAATGTGTAGCATCATTTTAATGCTTGAATCGTGTTTTCTGAAAGCAGGTGCTTACCTCGTCCCATTCTGAGGTGAAGGAGGGAGATTTCTCAAGCCTCTTCTTGCCGGTGCTACAGTTGGAAACAGACTCGCTCCGGTTCCCCAGTCCCCCTTCCTCCTCGCCAGGAGGCGATACGAGCAAGTCAGAGTCGGATTTGGAGAGGCTCCGGGCGAGTTTCAGGTCACCAGGAGGGCGCATCCTAATGACAGATCCTGCCCCCGCGGCAGAGTCTCTGGGCTCCTTGTTCACAGTGGCATAAATTGCTTTTGGATCGCAGTCTGTCAGGATTGCGGCCATGCTGGGTCGGCTAGGAGAACCGGAAGCAGCTGGTGGCTTTCCTCCTGCTTTGTTCGATTTCCTCGTTTCTGGTTGGCCCTGGTTGGGTGGCAAAACACCTGGAAGTCTGAAGGCGTCGTCGTGGCTGTCGATGACGGGAGAGGAACCGTGCAAAAGGCCAGTAAACTGCTCTGGGACACCTGCTCCCTGATCCTGGTTGCCCTGCAAGTTATCTGAACAGAAGGAAAAAGACAAATGGTCTATGAAAGAGCAGCACCTTGAAAGGGAAGGACAGTGGACTTCCATCCGAAGAGCAGATTCAGAGAGGAAGGCTAATAAGAAACCACCCACACAAACCCCTAAACAGATCTGCAATTGTTTCCTACCAGGAGTGACGGAGGGAAGAGGAGGGAGAGAGAAGAGACAGAGCAAGGAAAGGGCGTTTGTTGGCAGAAGAAATGAGTGAATTCCACAGCCAGCTTGCAGCCGTCTGACGGCAATCACAGGCTGCCTGTGTTCTGTAAGAGAGAGTTAAGGCAAGTCGTTCCAGTGAGCTGCTTCCCTTCAACTGAGACGATAGGTCAGCCTTTCCCAGCCAGGAATCTCTCCAAGCACTAAATAATCTCTTGTGCAACCTTAAAAACATCTAATGCAATACCGGAATAAAGAAGTGGCAGTCCTCAAAGAAAAAACAAATCCTAAATGAGATTGAAGGTGAGGGCTACTAAAACAATTAGGTCTTCCTCTCCCTCCCTCTCCCAAAGGAATTACTGCTATGTAAGCTCCTTTTCTACAATCGAATCTACCGTAACTTAACTGTGCCCACTTTAAAAGAAAACTAACCCCGAGAGATAAAATCCGCTGGTCTGCAGTCGGTTTTTTGGTTGTCCTACTCTCCAGTGTAGTGCTGCATGTCGTCTGCTGAGTTCACCAGCCGCCCTCTGCGTTTTCCGGCTTCTAATTCTAGATCCTAAGGGTGGCTCAGGAATGGAAATTTGAATCACCCTATCCTCTAGCAGACAGACTCCTGATAATTAGTGCTGTGACACATGCTGTGGGAGTGTGCATGCGTGTGGGCTCTTCTGGGGTGAAAGTATTGGGGTGTTTGGTGACAGCAGATCTAGGGCAGCAGAGCCACAGGAGAGCAACAACTCGGAGCAAACTCTGTCCTTCAGTCCTGTGCAATTAGCCTTTTAACATGCAACAATAGTAAGCTCAGACAATAACACCCAGGTTCTAACTGTGCTCACCAATGTTCATCTGTCAGGGAACATTTGCAGTGTGGGGGTTAACTAAACAACGCCCTGACGCAAAGAGAAACAGTTTACAGGCGAGTTTTGCACGTGAACATTATAAGCAGTAAGCCAGTGCTCTGTATACATGTTGAGATCACGACCAAACACCCACGCTCTCCTTGGCAGCTGGAGAAGCGTGAACGCCCAATGAGCACATCAGTGCGAATCCATCAGCCCCAGATTGTGTTAACCCCTGGCAGGGAGATAAACACGTGAACAATCAGATGGTAATGGAGGGTTTAGCACAGGGGTGAGGTCACCACAGAGGTGGAACATGCGTTTTACTTGGCAATGTCATATCCCTAAATATCCGACTAATGATGTCATGGTTGGAGGCAGCACTGGCCGTCACTCCTCCATCTCTGTCGTTCCAAAGTCAATCCATGGAAAAGTCTGCTCTTTTAGAGTTTAGGTTTAAAGACATTCATATATTTGTGAAAATCACTGCGGCACATCAGCCATTTAGAGGTTTCTATTAAAGCTAGTCTGCTTGTAATTCTTGCAAGAACAAAGTTGTCTTTTTGATGGTATTACGTTCTTGAACTTGCTCAGATTTTTTAAATCTTTTTACTAAAACGCTGAGAGTATTAAAGTGAGTTTTTATGTAATGCACCAAGACAAAAGTACCCCTAAATAAATTCAGTGCAACTTGTTGCCTTCTTTCAGGTCATAAAAAGGAAGACATAAAAAGTTGTTCACAAGCTATGGAGGCGACACAGAAAGATGTCAGGGAGAGAAGAATATCCCCATTACGGAGTCTGGAGGTGAAGACATCATGCTATTGGGATGTTTTTCACCACCTAAGATAAATAAGCAGCTCAGAGGTGACAGCATTAAATTCAGAGCAATGCTGGGCTCCATCTGAAAACCTCAGATCAGTAAGGACACTTAGGCCACAGTGGAAATGTGTCCTTGGTCACCATAATAAGTGCTACCTGAATAGTGCTGGCAGTTAGGAAGGAGCTAGGAACATGAAGTAGGATGCTTCCTAGCACCAGTACAGTTAGCATACGGACCCCCTGATGTCCGAAGCTACAGCTAACTGCCCACTAGGATTTGCACTTAAAATTGTATCATTATATTGGGTGATCATAATAATGATAAAAGATAAAAAAAAAAAAAAAAAAACATTATTTCTTCGCAGTCTTTCTCAGGTACCTCTATGGCTGTGACTGCTTACAATTCATCCATCCATCATCTTTCCAACAATTCATCACGTTTAGATGATAAATCAAATTCTTATAATGACTAGCAACTTATCACTATAACGATGAACATTGTGATAAATGCCCTCCCTACTGCCCACAATCCTTCACATGACTGGACGTATAGGCCCAGTCCATCTCAGGGAAGTGGACAAAAATTCATTATTTAGTGACACGTACTCTGTGTGACCCGTGCAGATGTACACACTTTGTTATGTTTTGGGCGAGCTTTAAGTGTTTCCTCTTTAACCCTGAAAATAGCGGCTGAACCCCTGTTTTTGCAAACATGGGTCGACTAACTAACAATCGGCATTTAGCTCCCTTCCCACTGGGAAAAAAAGCTGGGTCTAACCCCTAGCTGGCAGGCTATATGGTCTGCCCCCCCCCCCGCTGTGTGGTCTCTGTACCCCCACAGCGGGTGTCTGGTGACACCATCACACTCGGTTAGCTTTAATGCCATCACCAGCCCGACAGAAATCAGGAAAGTAAACAACGGAGAGCAACATGTAAGGAAACCAGGACGTAGTAAGTGTGCTTTATTGTATCTGTCCGAATCCCTGCTGCACTATGTTTATCTAATGTAAACAGAGTTGTTTCAGCTTGTTAGACCAGACGTGGCTGGCGCGGTGTGTTGATGTCTGTACGTTGCGTTCAATGGTGTCATGTAATTCAGCGGGTCGACCTGGCTCTGGTGTTACTACAGTGCGCTGATCAGAGCCGAGGCAATTTGCTTGCCGAGTCATTTGACACGGTAAGACAATGCCACTAAATGCCGAACATTCCCGGTTTTAAACAGGGTTCTCGGCCAGTGGCAAATGGGTACAAGACTGAAGTCTGTCTGGATTCAGCACAGCAGACTGGAGTTCCTTACCTACCCTGGATAATGTTCTCACTGTTAAAGCCTGTGAAAGGTGAAGTGATAGGAGCTAGGAGCAACAATTTTAAGGAGAAAATTTATAGCAAAGTAAAGACTTTTCCAAGGTTTTGTGTTTGTATGTGTGGCAGTGGATATCAGCTCGTCATCCTCATTGTCCCCAACAGCAGGGAATGTCACGATCTGATCAAGAATTACGTTTCATATTGGCAGCAAAAGGAGCTTTGCCCATTTGCCAAAGAATGTCAGTCAGCTCGTTCCCAACAGGGAAAATCCACTCTGCTGACTGAGAATGCCAATTGTGCATTCCGTCAGCCAGCCGAATGCAAGCCAACCCATCTCAGATGCACAGAACTCAACTGCATCTCTCCGGTTTCATTGACATGCTTGGCTCCTGACTTTCAGGACCAGCAGGACTGAGGATGTTGTAGCTCACTTGATAAGTACAGTAAGAGGACTTACCTCCCGGTGCATTTGGAGCCATCCATGCAGGGGGCAGCAGACTGTCTTTTGTTTTACTTGGGGGTCTGAGGTCATTGGGGGGCACAGAGGATTTGCGCTAAAAGAAGAAACTAAAATTTAGTCACAGCTTCTTACTTTCACATTCCTGTAGGGTTGGCAATCACATTAGGTGTAACTGACTAATCCAGACCCTGTGCTATCATTAGTAGTGGGAAGCAAGTGGGTGTGAAGGTGGATGGCTCTACAAGCAACATTTTTACAAAAAAAAAATACATGTAAAAAGCACATTTGTCACTTTTAAAGCTGCTTAGGAGAGAAAATATCTATTTTCCCAATTAACCAACTGATTCATTGTCAAGATCAAGAAAGTATATCAAAAAATGAAACACTCTCAGTCTAAGACTGTTTATACACATTTTTGCACATTTTGGATGAAAGACAAGAAAGTTGAGAACAGAAGAATAATGTTAGAAAAATCTTTACCTGAGGTAGGACACTGTTGGAAGACTGTGTAGTGGCATTCTCTTCTGAGAACACAGGAGACAAAGGAGTTAGTAGAGGGCAGGAGTGTCTAGATCTAATCTACATTACAGAGAATCTATTAATGGTTCTGACTGTCAGCAGAAACCTTCTGCACAGAATAACAGAAGTGATTTATAATGAAATCATGTTTTATGCACAGTGAAATTATCTGCATGTCAGTTTGCTTTGAGATTTATCGACCGGCCAGCTCAACAGAAGCAAGTGCAGACATGATGAAAGGGTTCTAAAGCAGGTAGAAAAATGTCTCATTTAAACTTTCATCTTAAATAAAGTGCTTCATTTTTTAAACACTGATCTATCATTACAGAGGAAACACGATTATACTCAAACCCATCAAGCGAAGGACGCCATGAAAAAGGATCGGTGCTGGTGAAGCCAGCTGACATTAACAGTTACTGATAATGAGGCCTTCTTGATTTATATCTGTTTAATGCGGATCCAAAATGCACATCGGAGTGGTTCCAAGTTGTAGAGCTACTGATCTCAATAAAAGTGCATGCAGGTTCATGCAGTTGCAAGGGATTTTATTTAAAGGCCTGGATAAACAAATTTCTCAAATGTGCCAAAAAAAGCAATGCACCAACTAACTACTTAAAACATAAACCAACAAACTAATGGGGAAAGAACACTTAATCTCTCAATCTTCCTCCCTTAGGGTTAAACTAAAAGGCCACAATTACCTTTATTGGGCTGGGAGTCCAGACTGGGCGGTGGGACTTTGGTCTCTGCAGTCAACAACAACTCGTACGTGTGATCCTCTGCTTCCTCTCTCCTTTCATTTATACTGCTACCTGTGTAATGCACCTACAGAGAAAAAAGAAAGAAAAAGAAAACAGAACTCTTGAGGAGGTGTGAGGCTTTGTTTTTTTAATGAATCCTATGATGCAGAAAATAGAATTTGGACCTTTCAGACCATATAATACTTAAAACCATATCAATTAAGGTAAAGTTATGTAGTTATGTAGTTATGTAGTGAGTTCCAAAAGCTAACCCAATATTAATATTAACACATTTTCAATTAGATTGAGTTTATTTATCTCCCATTTCTCTAGATGTTGTACTTTGTGTCCCCCAAGGATCAATATTGGAGTCAGATCTATTTATGATGCATCATAAATAATTCTTAACCTAAAAGTTTGCTCTGCATCCTGATGATGCCAGCCTTTTCTTTCTTGGACAATATTAAACGGGTAAATAAGGATAAGGGACATGAATGATAGAAACTAAAAAACTTGGTTGAAATTCGGGGTGAGTATTGGCACTGGTGTTGCAATATGATATGTGTCACGATACATTATTGTCGAGATGTTGCAATAACGCTATATATAGCAATATTTTTTACCAGCTTTCAAAATTAAATGTATAGATAATAAAGCAAGTGCTTTAAATGTTCATCAAAAGATTACGATCATTTAGTTATTTTGGTATTAATGTTGTTTGGGGTTTGAGTTAGTTCACATCTGCCACTGTGACTTCCTTAACTACAGATATGGTGCTGCACCGCACAGCTAACGGGCTCCACAGCTCTATCTGCCAGAGTGGGTGTGCAGAGATAGCCCATTTTCCTAATTTTTTCAGGCAAAGTTTTTTTAAATCTAGGAACTGAAAAATTTATACTATATTGGGCAGCCTAAAATCACCATATATTGCTGAAACTATTTTTTCCACACACCCCTAGTTGAAATAGAAATCACTTGGGTAACAGAAAAAGTCAGCATTCAAATACAGCTGGAAAGAGAAACAAGATCAATTTAGAGGAATTGGTTTTAAAAATGTTTGGGTTATAGTACGCAACAAGCACAAGTGAAAGCCCCACATCCATCATGAACAAACAGGTATTGCAAAAATCACACCAGTTTTGAATCGAGGGGGTACTAGAATGTAATTCAGTCCAATCTATGCTAATTTGTTCATTTTCAAATTACTGCATTATGCCAGCTGCTACATGTGCTTTTATCATTCATTCTGTTAATGCTTATTCTCTGTTAATAAGAAAAAGATGGTTTTGTTTTTTTTGTTACATAGGACAGGGCTGTCCTTTAGAAGCAGTGAGATTTATAAAGTGTACAAGTAATGACTACTGCTTTTCAATATGATTATACTCAAAGCAAATAGTATTATTATTACCGTAAGTAAAGGTGGGAACATGCATTACATGTATAACATGCTAGAACTGTTAGTAATCTGTGTTAAGTTGTTAAACTGCATTTGCACTGTTCGCCTTGTGAACTCACCTCTGAGCTTCCCTCTTCCTCGTGACTTGCGGCAGGATGCGATGGGACAATGCGGTCTTTCTGTAAAGCAATCAATCATTTTGGAACATTTAGAAAATGTTTTTACTATTATTATTATTATTATTATTATTGCTAAAAATATACAGTTAACCGCTAAGGATAATTTAGAGAGGTATATCTTCGGGGTTTTCTTAATACTGGTTACATGCCGAGTGGAGAACTAGCTCCCTCTAGTGGTTTTTTGGTGTTTTTCACCTTTATAAACCTGCATGTATTGATCTATCATGTTAGTGTGAGAATGCAAAATGTTGCCAACCTTGCCAACTTCGCTGTCGGGCCGTCCTGAGTCCCTGTCGGAGGACTTCCCACTGGTGAGGCTGTCTAAAGAATGGCAAGAAGTGGCTTCAAACAGAGCTTCATAGGGGCTCTCCTCCTCTGGGTCGGGGGCCAGCCCCGATATGAGGACCGTCACTTTGTCCTGGTTACCTATCAACCAGGTTAGAATCAAATTAAGCATTGCTAAAATGAAAGCGCCATGTTTTCTCTAATCATATATGTAAATCTCACCCTTCTTCCTCGGACTGGAGCTCTCCTGGGGTGGAGGAACGGGCGGAGGAGGAAGGTCGATGTCGGGGGGTTTTCCAGTCTTGTGCCCTGTAACAAAACAGAAGATTGTATCGCAGCAAAAATCAAAAGGTACTTTTCTGCAGTTCTCTGTAGTCAATATGGACTTTACCAAGGATGAGGGCAGCTATTTCTCTGCTTTTCTGGGAGGGCATGTCTTTGACAGTGTCCAGCGCTGTCAAACCCTTTTGGTCAACAATGTTCACATCAATACCTGTAAAAAGCATAGCACAGACTATAGTTGGGTTCCTTGGGTACTGCACCTCACAAAACCACCATTACTCTTTCACCTTTGACAGATTACAGTCAAAAACTATCATGTAAATATGTAGTCTGTTTTGGTCAATATTAAACTAGCAAAATAGGCCGATTATTGAGAAGAGAAATTAAAAGTACCGGTAAACATAATTTTTTTACATTTTCAGCAAATATAATTCGGAAGATGTAGCATGTATATGTAATCAGTTCTCTTTGCAGAACCGCCTTATACTTTAGTGGACACTCCCTACCAGGTTTGCACAACTAGAAAGAAAAAATAAACTATTCTTCTTTATAAGGTAGCTCACTCTCAGACTGAAAAACCATCAGCATTCATTTTCAACTTTTAAAAAAAATTTTCACAAGGATTAAAGTCTGCTTTCTTGTTTGTTTTTTTTTTGTTTTTTCAGGATTGCTCTGTATTTAGCTCCACTCTTCTTACATTTACTTCCAAATAGCTTTTCAGTCCAAGCAACAGCAAAATGTCCCACTCATATGCACATTTATAGTGTTTTCAATTTAAACCAGAAAGTATCATTTTGTTTCCTATGGCAACGCACTTTTAGTTTTACAGTTGTGTCATAACTATTTAAGGTCATTAATGTTTTTTTAACAAACCTCAGAGGTATTTACAAAATGTCTTGTTTTTATACTGAGCCTAAATACACAGCTTGACACTTTTTACTAATTATTACTAATTGATCTGATTTCTGTTGCACAATATTTACCATTTCAGAGTAAAAGGTGTTGAAACCACATTTTAGATTTTTATTTGTAACGTGTGTTTTTCTTGCACTTTGAAAATAAACTATAAAGCTAATTTAAGATTATTTTTAAAACAAGTACATCAGTAATTTTGAAAAGCACTGCGATTTCCTCCATGGACTGATTATGAGCACCAACCTGCACTGAGTAGCTTTTGTACCACATCTGTCTTCCCAAACAGGGCAGCTTCATGGAGGGCACTGCCTTTCTCTGTCTGTATGGAAAAAAAAAAAACAGCTCATTAAAGGAAGAATAAACAAATCTAAACAAAGAGAAGAAAACATTTTTATAAAAGCTAAAATATAATAAATAAATATTTAGTTTTTATCCTTTTCCAATTTTCAGTTGAGTCTGATTACAGCAATAGGAGTTGTGTGATAAAATGTTCTGCAGGAACCCGATTTTAGCATCACCCAAACAGTTTGCTGTTTTAAAGACAACCATGTGTTTGGGAGGTAAAGTGGATAATTTTCCAGTTCACAGGGTTGTGCTAATTGAAACCTGCAGGATGCATGAGCCTAAAGGATTCTGAATAGACCCCACATGCTTGATTTTAAAAAGGAAAGGAGGGCAAAATGAGGGGGAAGTCAGTTAAGACAGATGGGAATCACAGTGTGATCTGGGGGACTGAGCCTAAGGCTCCACCAGAGGGAGGAGGATCGCAACAGCCTTGACAGCCCAGCTGATAATCGGCAAAGTTTTCTTTTTTTTTAAATAAACATTTGATAAACTTTTAAGTTTCCCCACAGGACTAATGTGTGCAGCACACACCTCATAGTTGATGTCCATGCCAGCGTCCAGCAGCACTTCCACCACAGACAGGTGTCCGTTCCGGGAAGCCAGGTGCAGAGGTGTGTGTTTCTTGGTGTTGCAGCAGAGCAGGTTAGGATGTGCGCTGAGCAACAGCTTGACCACCTCCAACCGACCATACAGTGCAGCCAGATCCAGCGGCGTCTCGAACTTGTTGTTCCTCATGGTGGGGTCGGTCAGTTCCTCTAGCAGCAGGCGCACCACCTGGGTGTGACCATACTGGGCGGCACAGTGCAGCGGCGTCTCGTTGTCATTGTTCTGTTGGGAGGTCAAAAAGAAGGATGAGTCTCACAGAAAGGGTAACACGTACACCGGAACCAAATAGATGCAAAGCCCTCCACATCAGCAGAATAGAAAGATTGTTAAAAAGTAAAAACCATAAAGCCCAAAGAAAAACCCCGAGATGCATCTCTGGCAAAGTAGAGGGAAGCTTGGCTAAGAAAACGTGTGCACTGATGAAGAAAGGTAATGTGAATCCCTGCCAGGGTCTGTAAGATGCTCCTACAGGGGCTGAGACAAACAGGTTTGTTTAAATAAGACCAGAAAAAGCAAAAAATAAAACACAAAATCAAACAGCTCAATTATCACTAAAAATCAGTTAAACGTTTTCTAATTTTAAGAATGTTAAAGCCAACAAATCCAACATCACTGAGAAGCATTGCAAAGAACAGGCACTAGCAGACTTTTGCATCTGAAAAGTATCTAATAACAGATAATTTTATTTGCAGAAAAGATGTCAAAAAACTGTCTTAGTGAAGTCACGTCATTTAATGCTATGTTTTGGTGTTGGCTCTATTATTGTGCTTACAGTAACACAGTGAAAGTATTTTACGGACTACAAAGCGCACCTCACTATAATCTGTGCCCACTACATTTTTTGAAAAAACTGGAAATGTACATATGTGAGACACTGAGATCTAGTGAACTAGATGGTTCAGCAGCTTTAATACAAGCCTCATAGTTCAAAGCGTGGGAAAAAATTATGGCTTGTAGTCCAGGAATTACGGTAATCAAAGTTATCTTAGAATCTAATCCCAATGTGACACAAAGTGATAAAAATAACCATCTCATACATATCAAATGAGCTGTATGCCTTAATACAGGAAATAATACGCTATTTTGCAATAGGATTGTGACAAAACTGTAAAACCAACAGAATATAATTATTGTCCAACTACAAAAAACAAACACTGAAAGAGGCAGGTGTTGTGGTGCGTCTAAACTGGTCAAAAATGTAACAAATTTATATATGAATATGAATTATCATCACATTGCATAAAAGAAAACAATAAGCTGATATGACCTACTTTAAATACACATATAGAAAATGGTTTGGTTCCTGTTATAAGATGAAGACAGGAAGGAATCTAAGTATATGGCAAGAGATCAGAACATACAAATGATTGTAGCACTTTTTCTGATTAGTCTTGCTATGAAAGTTTAGATTTTTTTTTTGCATGCATTACCGCAGTTAGCCCATTTATTGGCATAATTCAGAGATCATAGACTCCTATTGACTACTATTACAGCTCTCCCTAAATTGTTTTCCTAAGAGCAATAAAAGCCTCAGAAGTGAGATGGTCAGGTAGGATAATGTGCCACTGAAACCACTTCAGTTTTATTTTTCTTGAAAAGCCAATAGGAGAACAATTTCTGGCTATTTGAAGGTTCAGAATAGTTTTAACTTATAAACACCCAGTTTTTAATCAAACGTGCAATGCACTCTACAAAGACTCCCTTGGCATATGAAAGCAAAACAGGTCCACGGCATTAAGGACCTGCCACTTTACTAAATCCAAACCCATTTTTCTCATATCTGCTAAGTATTCTGGTTTAAGCCACTGTGATATCTGTTACAGGAAAGATAACAGTCTGGTTTCACCAAAGCACATGGCCCCAGTTTAAGTCTCAGTCTTTTAGCAGAGTCCACCTGTTAATATTTTCAGTGGTGTAACACAAAATTATTTATTTTTGCCATGTCTCCTGAACAAGTAGTTGGCATGTAGGCATATTATTAGGTTCTTTATAGAAACTTTGGATGTCCAAGTGGACATTTTGGCTATAATTCTCCAACAGTAACCTATGAACATGTATTTTTCCTCCCTTACACTCCGTCTGTGATTCAACAAGATACCTCTGTTTAATGCTCCAGGAAAACCCTGTTTCATATTAATGCTTCAGGAAAACAAAACAAAAAAAAATGATCACAGATTACACAGACAGAAGTTCCTAAAACTCTGATAGACTTTCAAAGGTAAAGCAAAACTAATAATAATAAAAAAAAAATTCAATAACAGCATTATAAAGCGGTTGTAAAGACAAAAAAAAAAACTGTGCCAACTGCAATCTAATAAAAACTATTGTTTCTTCATACGAGTCTATCCTTCACCTCTTTCATGGATTTTCCCCCCCATTTTTGTGCATTTAAGTCACTGCAACAACAAATGCACTTACTTAAGGCTTTTTACTCATCTTTACCAAGGTAGCCATTAAATAGGACCAGTATTGTACGTCTACACAAGCACTGCTCAGGGGATTTTCTTTTCTCTTTATTATTAATTGATTCTATAAAACCAAAACAAAGAATTTAGCAGAAGCCAAAAGATTTTTTACAGCACTACTACATCATCACTCAGGTTTAATCAGAATCCTATTTCAAGAAAATAATTTCAAAAGGGAAAGCCAAACAGCCTATTAAGGATCAGAAACCAGTCCAAAATCACCAAATATAAAGTCTGCATATATGATACTTATTGCGTTTTCTGCAGAAAGTAACCTTAGTAATTCTGTGCATTACATAATGTCAATGATTCATTGGATGTGAGAGTAAACAGCCAGAGGACTCCTCCTTAATAACAAACACAGAAAGATGTGTGTCCTACATACCAGCAGAAGTTCAATTTGACCAAAGGCAACAAAAAGTCATTTTAATTAATCTAAAGAGTCAACAGGCAGGTGGATTAAAATCCAATTAAAAGCAGTAATTACAACATAAACTCCATAAGTGATGTAAATTGGATCTAACGACTCACATATTGCAGGAAGATCAATGCTTATTAAGAGAGCCTTAAGAAGAGCAGCCAGCAGGGGGCAGCACAATTCAAAGGATGTTTCCGAGAGTCAGAGCAAAGATGGACAGAAGGGATTTAGAGTTCTTGCTTTTCTATTAGTTTAACCCTTAAAAAGTATAAAAAGTAAACAGAATCTATCTGTCCTGTCATCCAGAGCTGTGAAATATGTTTCCTGACAATCTAAAAATGAGATCTCTAGAACCTTTGCATCTCGATCTGTTGTCAACAGTTGGGCGTGGCTGAGAATTCCTGCTATTGTGGATCCACATGCCAAGAGAGGCCGTCATTCCAGACATACAGATCAACCTACAAAGGCCTGACAGCTGGTGTGAGAAATCCCCACATGGGTATGAACTATGCCAGTTTGGGTGAGTCTCAGAGGAGCGCGCCAGCTGTGCCACTGTAAACTGCCGCGGAGGGGAGGGCTGACAGGGTGGGTCTTACAGGACAGGTGGCTTTAACTCATTCAATGGTACTTTGACAAAAGCCTGCTGCCAGATAAGATCAGCAGGTATTTCCCAATAAAGACAAATTGAAAGAAAGAGTATTGTTACGACAAAGCAGGTCACCGTTTGAACTAAAGGTGAAGAGAGAGAAATGAAGCAACACCTGCCCTTTAAACCTTTAAAGGAGAGAGAAAAGGGAGAGTCCAGGTTTTTATTGCCTGGATTTGAAATCTGAAAATGAATCAAATGGAGAAAAGACTAAAACTATTTTTCATCCGTGACACACCGCTGAGCATTTGTCAAGGCCTTTTGAAGAGATTTACTCTGAGCTTCTAGATGCTTAGATTACATCAGCATGAATCACTTCCTCCAATATGAACATCTTCTGCCTGAGTAGTAATCCAAGTCAATCTAGCATGGAAAGTTTTTTTAGGTTTGTTTTTGTTTTGTTTTGTTGTTTCTTCATGGTTGCAGTGTTCATAAGAAAGGGGTTAAAGAAAGACAAAATGTTGAGTTTAATCCAGTACAGACATGTTTAGCCTTTAGGGATTCATCCAAGAATTACAATTCCTTACTGAATCGTACAGTAGAAGCTCCAAAACTACGCTAAGTGAACTCACAACATGACCTCAGAGCTTCGGATCACTTCAACACCACGTGTCTCCCTGCCAAAGCGATAGTCAGGGCAGCTAGCAATGTGTCGGCCAGCAGCTGATCGAATTAAACATGGCTGGCTGATCGTGTGACTCACTGATGGGAGACATGCAACACCGAGCTCAGCCTCCTTTGATGAAAGAGACATTTCAGACATTATTCACACAACGGCTTTTTTTTTTTCTCCAGCAGGGCTGAGGTACCAAAACACCTGTGATGCTCGAGTTTGAACATTTTGCCTCTGAAAATGTATTTGATCAGGGCGAAAAAAAATATCAGTCTGTAATCCCATTTTGTCAGTGATTCAGTTTAGAAGAGCATCCATTTAAATGTGACACATGCATCTTTATTTGCATTTACAACACTGCACTTTGGTGTAAGAACAGCGGTAAATCATGATAGTATTTATTGCTTAAATATGATAATGATTTCACATTTCCTGTAAATGAATCAATGAATGAAAAAACCCTAAAATGAACTTGCATGAAAGCAATCATGAAATTTAGTTAAAGATAATACACCGGGTCTCTTATTTAGACAGCAAAATTATCCACAAATAGTCATGCAACGGTAAAAACAGGCAGTCAGAATCAGACGTTTTGCAACAGAAGTTTGTTTACAACAGGTTACGCAAGTTTTTTTTTTTTTTT